AGGTTCCTGCAATAGTTTGTACTGATGCCTCATCTTTTCAATCTTATTAATTGACTCGCATGAAGAGCCAGTTGCATATCCAAATTTGCTGATGATATTAAACTGGGGGCAGTATCATGATGGAGCTGGGAACAGCAAGTTGCTGAGGGGCATTAACATGTTAAGTTCACAAGTAAACCTGATTCATCAAGCAGTGATTCCTGGAACAGCTGACCACTTGGTGCATGGGATGAGTTACATCATCTCTGTGACATTTACTCCATGGTAACTGGGCCAGGTTAGCTATCAGGGTTGTGTAACACTCCCAGGTTTGGAGGCAAGTGAGGAATGTACCAAAATACTGCTAAAATAAGTAAGTTTAAAACATGCAGTTTGAAATCTGTAGAGGGCATTTACTGCACACATGAATTAAGAAAACCTTTTAAACTTAACATCACTCGAAGCAATCAACAGACTGTGGTTTTACCTTATCCTGACTGTTCAGCTCCTGGTACGGGATGTGTGCTGGAAGATATGTGTGAAGCACAGCACAGAATGCAAGACCATCGTTCCAACTACTGCTGAAGTTTGTGATATCAATATTCTGTAGTGGAGGGGAGGGATAATGAAGAGAAAAACAAAGATTTTTGATTATTCTGTATTAATGATAAAATATAAAAATCTGCCCCATGCTTGCCCATACCTTTTCAACTTTTCACAAAATTTCTGGGTGGATCACACTTGCACTCTAATTGAACAAGATGCCATATCTCATTTCCGAGGCAGGACTTTCCTGCTCAATCACACAATTGAATCCCTCCTTCTACTATCTCAGCAAGTGTATAAAAAGCACAAAGAAGAACAAAGAACAATACAACAGAGGAACAGGCCCTTCGACATCCAAGCCTGCGCTGACACATTCTACTCTTCCATACTAAAACTGTCTCCACTTACAGGATCCATATCCCTCTATTCCCTTCCTGTTCATGAATTCATCCAAGTGCTTCTTGAATGCTACTCTCGTGTCTGCTTCCACTACCTCCTCTGGCAGCACGTTCTAGGCACTCACCATCGTTTGTGTGAATACCTTGCCTCGCACATTTCTTTTAAACATGCCCCTCTCACACCTTGAACCTGTATCCTCTAGTAACTGACCCCTCCAACCGAAGAAAAAGCTTCATATCTTCCATGCCATTCACAATCTTACAAACTTCTATCAGGTCGCCCCTCAACCTCCTGTGTTCCAGTAAAAACAAATCCAGTCTATCATACCTTTCTTTATAGCTAAAATCCCCCATACTAGGCAACATCCTGCTACACCTTTTCTGTACCCTCTCCAAAGCATCCACATCCTTCTAGTAGTGTGGTGACCAGAACTGTATGCAATATTCCAAGTGTGGCCTAACGAAAATCCTAATACTCAGTGCCCCTTCCAATGAAGGCAAGCATGCCATAGGCCTTTTTTATTACCACATCTACCTACGCTGCCACCTTCAATGATCTATGGACCTGCACACCCAGATCCCTCTGCATATCAATACTCCGAAGGGTTCTGCCATTCACTCTATAACTTCCACCTGTACTTGACCTTCCACAATGCATCACCTCATATTTGTCCCGAGCACTAAGTTAAAATCACCCACCACAACAACCCTGCTGTTTGCACATATTTCCAAAATCTGTCTACACATTGTCTTCTTTATCTCTTTCTGGCTGTTGGGAGGCCTCTAATATACCCCCAACATTGTGATTTCACCTTTTCCTACTCCTGAGTTCTACCCATATTGCCTCGCTGCAAGAGTCCTCTGATGTATCCTCCCTCATTACAGCTGAGATACTCCTTTACCAGTAATGCAATTCCCCCACCCCTTTTACATCCGTTTGTATCACACCTGAAACATTTAAATCCTGGGACATTCAGCTGCCAGTCCTGTCCCTCTCTCAGCCAAGTCTTTGTATTTGCAATAACGTCATCATTCTAAGTACTAAGCAAAGCTCTAAGTTCATCTACTTTGCCTATTTTCGTATTGAAACACATGCATTTCAGACCACCTCTCCTGTTTTCAGCAGCGTTTCCCTGTTGTTTTTGTTCTTAGTCATGTTTGCCTCAGTTTCTACCTCTCCTTCAACTTCTGCATCTGCTGCCCTACTCCTCTGGTTCCCATCCCTCTGTTACACGAGTTTAAACCCTCCCCAAACACCAAGTAGCACCCCCACCCCCCCGAAAAGAAATCAGTCCCGGTCCTGCCCGGGTATAACCTGTCCAGTGTGTACAGGTCGCACCTTCCCAGAACTGGTCCCAATGCCCCATGAATCTCAAACCCACCCTCTCACACCATCTTTTCAGCCACGTATTCATCCTAAATATCCTGCTGTTTCTACTCTGACTAGCTTGTGGCACTGGTAGTAATCCTGAGATAACTACCTTTGAGGTCGTACATTTTAACTTTCTTCCTAGTTCTCTATATTGTGCTTTTAGGACTTCATCCCTTTTTTAAACTTATGTTGTTAGTACCAACATGTTCCACAATCACTGGCTTTTCCGCCCTCCCCCTCCAGAATGTCCAGCAACCACTCAGGGACATCCAGGGCCCCAGCACCAGGGGGGCAACACACCATCCTGGACTCTTGTTTGTGGCCACAGAAACACCTATTTCCCTTACAATTGAATCCCCTATAACTGTAGCATTTCTATGCCTATTTCTCCCTCCCTCTTCAGCAGAGCCAACCATGGTGCCATGAATTTGGCTGCTGCTGTTGTCCCGAGAGGCCAACACCCTCACAGTATCCAAAATGGTATATGTTTTAGAACACAGAACACAGAACAGTACAGGCCCTTCGGCCCACGATGTTGTGCCGAACTTTTATCCTAAACCTAAGGTCTATCTAATCTCCATCGCTACCTTATACGATCATCCATATGCCGATCTAATAGCCGCTTAAATGCCCCTAATGAGGCCGACTCCACTACCCTCTCCGGCAATGCACGCCCCTACCACTCTGAATAAAGAACCTACCTCAGATGTCTCCCCAATATCTACCTCCTTTCACTTTAAAACTATGTCCCTTCGTAAAAGCTACCTCCACCCTAAGAAAAAGTCTCTGGCTGTCTACTGTATCTATACCTCTGATCATTTTATACACCTCTATCAAGTCACCTCTCATCCTTCGTCGTTCTAAAGAGAAAAGCCCTAGCTCTCTCAACCTTTCCTCGTAAGACCTTCCCTCCATTCCAGGCAACATCCTGGTAAATCTCCTCTGCACCTTTTCTAACGCTTCCACATCTTTCCTGTAATGAGGTGACCAGAACTGGACACAATACTCCAGATGTGGCCGAACCAGGCTTTTGTATAGCTGGAGCATAACTTCACGGCTCTTGAACTCAATCCCTCTATTAATGAAAGCTAATACAGCATACGCCTTCTTAACAACTCTATCCACCTGGGTGGCAGCTTTCAGGGAACTGTGAACATGAACCCCAAGATCCCTCTGCTCTTCCACACTGCCAAGAATCTTTCCGTTAACTCTGTATTCTGCTTTCAAGTTTGTCCTTCCAAAATGAATCACCTCACACTTTTCAGGGTTAAACTCCATCTGCCACTTCTCAGCCCAGCTCTGCATTTTATCAATGTCCCTTTGTAACCTAGAACAGCCCTCCACACTGTCCACAACGTGACCCACCTTTGTATCGTCCCTGAACTTGCTAATTCACCCTTCCACTCCTTCATCCAAATCATTTACAAAAATCACAAATAGAAGAGGACCCAGAACAGATCCTTGTGGTACACCACTCGTAACTGAGCACCATGTTGAATATTTTTCATCCACCACCACCCTTTGTCGTCTAAGGGTCAGCCAATTCTGAATCCAATCTGCCACATTTCCCCCATCCCATGCCTCCTTACCTTCTGCATGAGCCTACCAAGTGGAACCTTATCAAACGCCTTACTTACTGCTCCACTTTCATCCACGTGCTTGGTCACCTCTTCAAAGAATTCAATAAGGTTTGTGAGGCACGATCTACCCCTCACAAGTCCATGCTGACTATCACGAATCAAACTGTGCCTTTCCAAGTGATCATAAATCCTGTCTCTCAGAGCCCTTTCCAATAATTTGCCCACCACTGAAGTAAGACTAACTGGCCTGTAATTTCCGGGGTTATCCCTGTTCCCTTTTTTGAACAAGGGAATGACGCTTGCCTCTTTCCAATCTTCCGGCACCATACCCGTGGACAGTGAGGACGAAAAGATCATCGCCAAAGGCCCTGCAATCTCGTCCCTTGCTTCCCATAGAATCCTTGGATAAATCCCATCAGGCCCGGAGGACTTAGCTATCTTCAACTTCCTCAAAATTCCTAGCACATCTTCTTTACTAACATCAACCTCTTCTAGCCTACCTGCCTGTTTCACAACGCCCTCCTCTACAACTAGGTCCCTCTCAGTTGTAAATACTGAAGAAAAGTATTCATTAAGGACCTCTCCTATCTCTTTAGGCTCTGTGTACAAATTCCCTTTGCAATCCTTGATTAGCCCTACCCATTCTCTGGTCATTCTCTTATTCCTCACGTACATGTAAAAAGCCTTGGAGTTTTCCTTGATCCTATCCGCCAAGGTTTTCTCATGCCCCCTTACAGTTCTCCGAAGCCCTTTCTTCAGCTCCTTCCTGGCTAACTTGTATCCCTCTAGAGCCTTTTCCGTTCCTCTTTTCCTAAACCTTACGTATGCCTCCTTCTTCCTCTTAACCAGTCGTTCGACCTCTCTCGAGAACCATGGCTCCCTCACTCGACCGCATCTTCTCTGCCTGCTAGGGACAAACATATCAAGCACATGCAGTATGCATTCCTTAAACAATCTCCACATTTCTGGGGTGCTTTTCCCTGACAGCATCTGTTCCCAACTTATGTTACCCAGTTCTTGCCTAACTGCATTGTAATTACCCTTCCCCCAATTGTAAACTTTACCCTGCCGTATATACCTATCCTTATCCATGACTATCGTGAAAGAAACAGAGTTAGGATCGCTACTGCCAATATGCTCTCCTACCAACAGGTCCAACACTTGGCCCGGTTCATTGCCAAGCACCAAATCCAAAGTGGCCTCTCCTCGTGTTGGTCTATCTACATACTGTGTCAGGAATCCTTCCTGAACGCACTGGACAAAATCTGCTCCATCTAAACTATTACAACTAAAATGTTTCCAATCAATATTTGGAAAGTTGAAGTCACCCATGACTACAACCCTGTGACTTCTGCACCTTTCCAGTATCTGCCTCTCAATCCGCTCCTCTACCTCTCTGCAACTATTAAGGGGTCTGTAAAAAAACCCCCAAAGTGACTGCTCCTTTCTTGTTCCTGACCTCAACCCAAACTGACTCCGTAGACATATCATTCTCGAACTGCCTTTCAGTAGCTGCTATACTCGCCCTGACTAGCAATGCCACTCCCCCACCTCTTTTTCCACCCTCCCTATTTCTTATAAAGCATCTAAATCCCAGAACTTCCAACAACCATTCCTCTCCCTGAGTTACCCAAGTTTCTGTAATGGCCACAACATCGTAGTTCCAAGTACTGACCATGCTCTAAGTTCATCCGCTTTATTTCTGACA